CCGTTTCAACAATACGTAGTCACAACCGAATACACATTGATGGGTGCACCCGGTGCGGACATGGCCGCATAGTTTCTCGGGGGGGCATGTTCTGCTTCGGCAATAGCCTGTAGCCGAGTCCAAGAACGACAAACTTAGGACAACTGGAACGAAACCCAAATGAATGAAATATCTCGCGCATTCAACATGCACCGCCCCCGTCGTGTGCGCATCCCCCGTTATGGGAAACTAAATTCATCCAGTGGTCGTGCCAGAAGAAACGCTTCGTGGACCGGGTGAGTGCAGCGCCCCCAAGGCGAGACAAGGCGGTTTGGGATTTGGGCGAGAGTTGCATATTGATGTTGCAAGTCGGAGATGTGTTTGGCAAGGCCCACGTACGACCTCAAGTGTCAAGGGTAGATCCAGCACCAAGCGAATTGGGAGAGGCAGGGCTCGGGCAAAGTCGGTCGTGTGTTAGACATGTTCACAGCCCTTCCTGGCGAAGTCTCCCGAAACCCCGTCTTTCCTCCATCACAAGCCTACCACTTGCTCTCGATTTAATGTCATTGCCACAGGCAGACCGGAAATGGCGCCAAAACACGACGTCGCCACTTCAAAAAGGGTACGAGCTTGTGTCAAAACGTCACCACGAAATCGGTCACCCTCTGCGTCACAACGTCGCTCCACCGGTAAGAAAAACGACAATTATCATGTGATTTAGGGTAGATCGTGTTTTCCGAACATCTACAGGGTAGGTGTGAAACGCAGTTGGTTCACCTTGCCAAGGCTAACGCAGAATTTTGGCCAAAGGACAAAACGGAGTTCGCATGGTGAAACGTATGGATGGATTTGCGGTAGTCTATGGCGTATCTGCACATTCAGAAACCGAAGGGCGTTCTTGGCGCCAATTTATCGACGTCAACGAAGTTGAAGTAACAAGTGTAGACGCGCACCTGTTTTCGTTTCCACCCTTGCATAGGCTCGATTTATGCAAGGACAGGCTCCGCCTTGGGGTGGAATGGCGACGGGCGTAGGGATGACACTGGAATCAACTCCGCCAGTGGAGGGTAAGGAGGAAAAGGTATAGACCCATGACAATCGAAGGACGCCTTGCGAAAGCACTTTATCCAGAGAGTATGGACAGCAGGAACCTTCGAGAAGGGAGCTTGCACATACTCTGAGACGAATGTCTCCACGCCCAGACATTTTCGTTAGCACCTACTCAGGGAAAGGTAGTAGATGTTAGTTTCTGGGTGAAATAAATGCTGTAACAGAGGTGTATCATGCTATTGATATCATCGTGGGAGGGTGACAGGGATGCGTAATAAAATCATGTTGACGACATAGTACCTTGCGCGGAGTGCCTGTAAAGCAGTACATCCCGCGAAGTCATGGCCCGGCAGTATCCTGCGTCAAGCGTGAGGGCTACGATATCCGGGGTTGGCACATCAAAAGTCGAATGTCTAGTCTATGGACTTTGCACGAGGGGCGTTGGCGAAGCCAAGGTACCGTAGGCGACCAGGATGCAATTTGGGTCATATTATCAACACAGACGCCTACCGGCATGCTCCTTCGAGAGGTGATTGTATTGGACCGGATGCTGAAGGTTTCGGGGGTGGTTGCGTGTGATTGGTTGCTGTAGTCCGGGCGTGGCGTTGGGCCACCTCGCCACGTTGCAAATCCAAGCGGCTGCCCAGCTTCTTATGCCTTAAGGTCGTGAACCACAGGTAGAAACGAGCATGAGCTCGACGAGGAGGCGAACGAGGAGGAGATGGCGACATGAAGATATAAGCCGGGGGGTTTCAACGAGACTGCGAGATGGCGTGGTCTCTTGGCAGTGGCGCCGCAACTAGCCAAGGTCGGGAATGAATTTCGTTGTAAGCAAGAGATGAAACCTCGAGGGCACGTGGGGGTGTCTCGAGAGTGAAAGGCTCTGTTCGGTCGGGAATCAACTGGTGAACCCGCCCTCCACCGCGCCCGATGCCCGTGCCCGCCTGAAGTGTGGGAAAATACAAACTCGATGATGCGGTCCCCAAACTGACAAAAATGAAATCGTATACAAAATCGGACTGGGGCTCCAAATTTTTCCATTTAAGGGAGCAAGCAGATTTTGATATAAGAATTCGTACTGGAAACTGCGTGCAAGCAAAATATTTCATATTTAGGGCGGCCTCATGTGATTGACTGCTGTGGGGCAACAGTCCGCCTAGTCCTACCCAAAGAACTCGACCCCCAGCACACCAAATCGCACCAGTACGGAGACAGGGAGAAATTACACTGGCCGGCAGCCTCTGACTGAAGTGCTGTGTCGCACTCCAAGCGTTCGGGAGAGGGGTTTCGGGACTAGGGCACATCCCAAGTCAAACGCTTCTTCTACCAGAAATCAGAGAAAACTCTTTCGCGAGGAAAGACGCGCCCGTCTACACCAGGAGGGTACTCTTCGTGGTCTTCCTCCTCTCTGTTCTTTGCTGACTGTGCTGCCACCACCTGTATCTACGTCGTTCATCGTCGTTGTCTCAGCGATTCTGGCACTCTCTTTCCCCGTTGCCTCAACCTTACGGGCGTGTTGATGACCTCAAGCCGCAAACCCGACATGGCTTTCGGACCGTGCAGCCTCCCTCTTTTGTTGTTGCGCGCGCGCCAACTCCAGGGCTTTAACGCTGGGCGCTGACCTTCTCTTTGGGAGCTCGGGCATGCTGATAGCGGCCTGTGTGTGCGGGTGGGTGGTGCCTGATGTGTTGCTTCGAAGAAGGTTGCTGAACCGGAAAAAGTGTCAAACACAATATCCCAGCCTCTCTCCGCCCTAATAACCCGGTCAAAAAATCCTTCTCGCGGGTTCTGGCTAGGCTGCCAGGAACGATCCACAGAACGATGGCCTAGCTCGAAATCTTTTTCATAAGGAGGTGCAGAAGACGAGTTTTGATGTTGACAAATGTTGGAAGCAAAACGCAAGAGCGCCAGGAACCGCACAAAAGACACCCAAGACTAGTCGGAAGGCATCGCGAAAAACAGAAATCGTTGATTCTCGCACAGGGCGGCAGTAGAGGTTTGCTCCAAACATACATTTCACGCGTCTACCTCCACAAACCTCCTTTGGAATCATCAGGTAAAATTCACACGCCTTTGACTTCCAAGTCGAAAGAGCCAAAACGGCAGGAGCTCAAATAAGGTCTTTGTTGCCAGGAACTTGATGCTTAGTACTGATATCACTTAGAGGACATCCTAGAGCAGCGAGGGGTACGTGTTGGCCCGCTCAACTCTGCTTCTGTGGTGGTGATATCGAGCGTCGTACGTAGTAATATTACGGCCTGCAATCCCGCACATGTCGGCAAATTAGACCGACACCCAGTGTTTCGTACTGCGTGTGCTCGCCGCCACTAACCTCGATCTCCTGAAATGCGGGTCCACAGCAGTAGCTGATGTCACTAGCTACTGCTGACAGCCCTCCGTGCAGGGGTATACGGTCCGTGGCGGTGAGCACGGCTGTGACAAATAGTGTTGGATGCCGCTTGGTTCAGGCGCAGATAGATTTCGGACTGTTTTCAGAGGCTGCTGCGACCTTCGATACTTCGGCTCCAGCAGCAAACCGAAACGTGCCAGCAAGCACGACGCCTCTTGATGGTGTCCTCTACTGTTTTAGTACTATTACCATGTTCCTCCGGCCGGAAGGTTGTTTCCTTTCTTTATGATGGAGTTAAGCATAAGAAAAGAGCCAGCGTCAATACCCCTACCTATTCTGCCATCCCATACAGAAAAAAAAACGAGTAGTGGCCAAAATCGGGTACACCCGGTCCAAACACGGCCGTAATCGGGTACCCCTACAAGACGCTGCTGGGAGAGGCCGCATGCCACATTGTTAGTTATTGGCGGACGCCCACTCCTACCCGTATGTCTTTCCACCGGGTACACCCAATCTGGCTACTCACACCCAGGGGGCACCCGGTTTTTCATTCCCCTACCCGAAAATGGCCGGGCTGTTCGACCAAAACTCATGCACACAAGTACGCACACACGAACAACGCCCTGCCCTCGAATTCAGACGTTCTGATGACCCGGCGGGCGGAGGCAGACTCCACGCCGGCGGTGGAAGTCTCCCTTGGGGGAAACGGCAGGCGGTCTGTGCAAATAATCGAGAAGAAGAGTCGGATGAATCCCTCCCTCACGAGATGCGACACATACGGGACTCATCAAAAACAAAAAACATATATATCACCTCCCTCCTGCTATTCTCTTAGTGTATTGGCGACAAACGACGGCCAGTGGTGTGCGTCCGACCCGTGATTGTGTGCATGGGATTTAATAGAACAGCCCAGCCATTTTCGGGTAGGGGAGAGAAAACCGGGTACCCTTCCGGGGGGTGAGTAGCTAAGATCGGGCGTGCCCGGTGGAAAGACGGTCAAGGTCGGATAGGGGTGGGCGTCGGCCAATAACATGGTGGCATGCGGTCTCTCTCAGCAGCGTGTTGTAGGTACCCGATTATGGCCCTGTTTGGACCGATTTTGCCCACTGCTAAAAAAAATTGGGCCTCGGCCCTACATGTACGCTCAATTGTACAGAACGCGCCACTTTTATTTTGGGCAATTGAGCAATTCGCACCAAAATTGTTCCAAGAAGTGCACGAACATTTTTGCGAGTGGCAGCGGGTCATCGTTGTCGGTGTTGATCGTGGGTTTAGGATTGGGTGCAATTGCCGTTTGCCCCATCGTGGAGAGAAGAGCCAGGTTTTGCTCTCGAATGAACATGTGTACAAGACAATGGCTCCACATACCATCAGTTTGAGAGGGAACGGAGTTGCAGACTGTCGGCTGGACGAAAGTCGTGGATTCCAGACTAGAGGCAACCACAATTGACGACTATTAACTAGATACTTTCGTACAGCTGCCCTGATACGTCTCCAAGTTGTACTTCATGCGGAGGAAATATGCAGCGCGGGCGATTCGCTCTTCTGTGGAATGGTCCCGATTCCTCTCCCAGTGTGAATGGAAACCAAATTGAATACGTACCCGGAGCATAGTCTTGGGCTAGACTTCACCTGACCACTATGTGATGAGGACTCTAGGAGGATCTTAAGGGGTGCTGGATATCTCGAGTTCTTACCCTCGGGCCTCTCGTCGGGCACTCCTCTTGCCCACCTGTGTGGATGTGGATTGGAGAAGGCGACCTAGCGCGAGCAACGTGTCTGCAGAGCTGTATTTCATGTACTACAAAGCTTGCCTGAAAATCCGGAATCTTGACCAAAACGTCGAAGAAAACCACTTCGAGTAGGTAGACAACGAACACAACGTGCGTTGTTGCGAAAACGGCCATGGCCGCCTCCTTCAACAGTTGCTTCAGGAGGCCCCGGTTCGTACTTCCTCCAACCATCGCTCGCGACTTCATCTTTTCCGTGGCTGCCGACGGCTGCATCGCTGCCAAGGCACGCTTCTCAGGGCTGTCTACCGGCCGGCATATAGGGGCTTCCGGGAAACGTTGCCTAAACGCTGCCGCAATAGACCTGGGCGACTTCAAACTTGGAGCCATCCAGTCTGGGCGACTAAACGAACCATCCTCGTACACCTTGGGAGCTAGACCCACGACACTGCTAGCTTGCATCGCCAGGGCAGCTTGCAACTCACGGTTGGACCATCGCTCACGGTCTCCTTCATTCGCGTCTCCCTCCTCCTCCTCCTCCTCCTCTTCCTCCTCCTCCCCAATAGACTCTACTTCCTCCATGGCCTCTCCGTTCATGTTTCTTCCTGCTGCTGGCGTGGTGCCCAGCCCTCTCAAGTCAAGCGATCCAGATCCGACTGCGGTGTTGGACCGCCCTGAAGAAACCGCGGTGTCATGGGCAGCCTCCCCCACCTCCGCCGCCGCTCTGAACGGTTCCTCCGCTCCTCCTGCAGGCGGCCTTTGAGCGGCTGCGACTGGTGCTGCTGATGTTGTTGTTGTTGTTGTTGTTGTTGTTGCTGTTGCTGCTGCGGCGGCAGCGGCGGCAGCGGCCGCTGCCGCTGCTACTTGTGAGGACATCGTTGTTTGCTGCAGCCGGTTCTCTGAGCTACCACCACTGGAACTAGGCGTTCGCCCAGATATGCCTACATTGCCCACTGTGCCATGACAATCATACGAAACTCGTCGCTGCAGGCTGTCCTCCGATCGATCGCAATCCGCACAAAAATGATCGAACCCGTGTGGATTCTGATCAGGAGGAACCCGTATAGATATCCTCTTCTGGCCGCTGTTCACGTGCCTGAGACACATGTGACAGGTGAACATCTTGTTTGCTGGCGCTTCATATCTGTCTGACCTGTGTCTGTCTGCCCTGCCATGGCCGCCGCGATCATCATCTGGCCCGGGAGCTGCAGACATGAACCAGGCTGGCGACCCGCCGTTGCGCCACCGTCCGCTGCCGTTGTGCGTGGTGTTGCTATCGACGCTTGCTGGGTGGTGATGAAAAAAATCTTCGAGAATCAAAGCTGCGCTGGAACTTTCGGGGCGCAGAACCAGTTGTGTGCCCCAAAAGTCTGCATTGCTGGCATTTGGCCCCGATTCACACTAAAATCAAATGACGATGCGCAGTGGCTTCCTGGGACGTAGGATGCGCAGTAGGGGGCCCCGGCCGGGGAAGTGCAAAGAGTGCAAAAAGTTCAATATTTGGGGGTCCGTCGTTTCGATTGGGGGGTATGCAAATGTTCTCTTGTTGGATACCCCGACCCCCCTTCGCCTTGCTCAAATTGTCAAATTGAGCCGAAACCGCGTCATGCTGGACGTTGGCACGCACAGCAAGACGGAGACAAGGAATCTTCTTGTGCGTGAAGAGCATAAGATAGGCGGGATACGGCTCACATCTGCACGATCGATCACAATAAGCAGAGGGGGCGATGGTGCCGCCTCGAGGTACGCAAACAGCAGTGCAGTATCATTGATAGCATGGTCGAGAAAGCCCTTGTTTGTGCCGACACTTGTTGCACTTGGAGGTGTCTGCACCTCGATGGGCCGGCTTCCACTGCTGCAGCACTGCACTCGTACGTCGGTCCCCGCTCTTTACTGTCTTATTCTCCTGTCTGCCAGTCAGAGGTTGGGATGGCCGGTTGAAGAAGTTGGAGTTGTCTGTACTTTTCCCGCAGTCTCGGGGTGTCTGAGGGATAACAAGGGAACGCACCGCCTGCAGGAAGAGGGCCTGCCGGCCGTGGTCCTAGAGCTAGCATGTCGTCTCCTCGCCGTATTATGGGATGTGTAGCGTAGGCTGCGGGGAACCTTGCGTGGCACTACCTTTTGCCAAACACTTGCAGCGCTGGTGCGGTAAGCTGGTGGTGGCAACACAACAACACTCGATTTGAACCTCTCGTCGTCGCAGCCCAGGCAACTTGGCGTGATTACAACATGTTACTGCTGTGCTCTTGGTGCTCGTACAAAGCTGTACTTCGTGCTTTGGCTGCATGTTCAAAGCTGTACGTCGTGCTCTGGCTGCATTGTGCATTGTAGACCATACACGCCGCCGTATTTGGTGGTTGGCAAAGTAAGACAGTTCCGAACTTGGTCTTGAAAGACTGCTGTTGTTGTACCACTCTCGCCGACTGGACTGTTTAATATCTCGCCAGGCAGCACGATTCTTATAAACCATCGTATTGTAGTGCTGGAAGCCCAAATGGGGACACATTGGGGACACAGCACTCAAATGCCTGTTTTCCGCACCGTGGTCGTCAAAATGCTCCGCTGGATGAAACCCGCGTGGGAAACCTCGGCCTAGCATGCTTGTGGGGGTGGCATACGCTGTGTGACATGGTTGGGTCGACTAGCTAGTAGAAGTGGAGGATAGGGGCCAGAGGGGCAGACGACAGAGCCCAATGATGGGAGAAAAAAATAACAATAAAAAAGTAATAGTGCTATGTGATAACTGTGTGCCTCTCCTTGGCCTCTAACTTAATGTACACAATCTCCCAGGCCGCGGGTCCCCTTTTTCGCAAAACTGCTGTACATAGCCTAGTACTGAAAATTTTGCTGACTTGACTTCACTATGGAAAGTGTCCCCAATGCATTTGAGGGCACTTTCTATTGTAAGCCAAGTCAGCCTTCCGCCCTGGGACTGTACCGCCTCTTCCAATGAGCTGACGTGATTTTTTCTGGACCAATAACCTGTAACTTACTGGGTGCTAGAAGGGTAACCAGCTCTCGCCTATTGACTGCTGTAGCTTAATGCCGGCCTCTCCATCTCGCCGTTTGCTGATTGGGTTATGCCACCTCATCCATCGTCAGGGAATCCTCGCCCGAAGGCGTACCTGTCGATCGGGGAATACCTTCGCAAGGCCGGCGCGTTTAAGACCGTCAACGTGTGAGTGCCTCGGGTCTGGGTACGCTGCTGCTGTAGGAGGACACCTTCGAGAAGGCTTAGACTGGAGTTGCTCTTGTTGCCGCTGGCGCTTCTTTTGGTCGAGGCCGTTGCTGCCGCTGCTGCCGGTGGCGCTTGTTTGGGGTTTGGTACCGTCTGGCCTCGTCAGCGTCGTCGGGGTGAATGATTGGAGCGCACTCTGTAGTAGTTGCCAGAGCAACCGTCACCCCAAAGAGCCACCCGACGACCAATTTTCTTATCCGCCCGCCGAGCAGCCCTTTCCGTCGAGTTGCACCCCCGATGCTGTACACTCAACAATGAGCTTTGTCTGCGGATCGTTCTCGGTTTCTATGTTTCCACCGCCACTCTCTCCCCCGGCAGCTACTACAACGAAATCATCAGCACACACCCTTCGGTGGCGTTAAGCGAAGACGGTGATACGGAGGAAGTGGATGAGCTGGCGCAGGGGATGATTGAAGCCGCCCAGGTGGCCGACCAATTGCCCTCTGCCCTCCCTCCCACCCCTGCAATGGGCCATTCTACAAGTTATAGATGAGACAGATTGTAAATACCAGTTCGAGATGATAACCACAGTCGGATGTGTTCAATGCAGTATTTTCAGCAGTGACTGGGAGAAATGCTGTTTTTTCCGCAGAGGCGTGATCCCACGGGAGGAGGACGTGTTGTGGACTGGCCGGTTTCCAATCTGCATTTTTTCACAGGCTACTGTAGTTTGGGTTTCTCCGGTGCACTTGTAAGGTGAGCGATACCGGCTGCTGATGCCATGTCGACATCACTAGGGGCGCCCTCGAGTAGACGGGGAAGAAGGCTATTTTTTCTTTTTCAATGTTGCGCTCGAGCCTTTACGGCGGACATGCGGCACGGCTGGAATCCTTCCCCTGATGAATAAAGACGAAAAAGCACCTAACAACACTTTTTTCTCGCTCGTGCGCTAAATTACCACATGCGCACATGTGCCTCTTCGTACGCGCAGCACGGGCACCTGGAGACTCTGCGGTTTCTGGTGGGAAAGGCCCAGACCGGGGGCGAGGAGGGGGGGGTTGGCACCTGCATTGGGGAGCGGGTGGGGTGTCTAATGCTTCACCTCGCGGCGGAGGCTGGCCGTGAGTACCGACCACCCTAAGAAGGGATTCGGATTTCATACGGTAGATGTTGTATGTTTTCTCTAGAAAAAAAAGTGAGTTTTGTGTTGTTCACGGCATGCTGCAAGTTTTGAGGTGAGCTTCAAGGTGCGGTAGTAATGGGCGGCTGGGAGAGGCATGAAACCATTCCAAGCACCTTGGGAGGTCACTGGAAAGTCGCGTGTCTTTTTGACGAGAACCGTTCGAGCTAGGCCCCCTGCATCCTCGTGTCGACTTCCGTTGCTCTCTGCTGTCAATACCACCGCCGCTGTTGTTTTCGTGGCGCGCGCCACGTTTCGACGGGACTGCTGCACGGAAAACCGTTTCCAGATGATACCATCGTACACTACCTGGTGGAAGACTTGTGGGTGGACATAGACGAGGCCACCGTGCGAGGCATGACCGCCTTGCACTACGCGGCAAAGGTCAGCGTCCCGGAACGGAGAGCCAGGGGGAAACGAGCGAGCAGCGGTGCTCTTCGTTTTGTATTCCGCGAGAAGAGAAGAAGCACCCCGCGAGATATTCGTAGTCGCTGCGGCTGCTTTGGTTCGTTTTTGGTGATAGCTCTTGCACCGTGGGTCGTGGATTTGTCCCCTTGATGTGTGTCCATGGAGTTCGTTGTTTTCTCTGCCCCTACTATCATCGTCGTCGTCGTCAGCGTGGTGGGTGTCGTTGCTTTAGGTGGTGCTGGTGGTGGTCATTGTGTTGTTGTTATTGTTGTTGTTGTTGTTGTTGTTGTTGTTGTTGTCGTCGTCGTCTGTGGTTGCCGATTTCTCGGGGGCGGTAATTTGACCTCGTGGACTCAGTCGACGACGGTCGGTCCCTTCCGTCAGGCGAATCGCACCGCCGTGGTTCGAGAGCTGTCAAGGCTTGGCGCGGACCTGGAGGCCAAGAACGACGCCGGCCAGGTTCCCGCACAGCTTACGAAGGACCGTTTGGTGAGAGCTGGTTGTGGTTGGTTTTCGATGTCTCCGTTCGGTGGACAAAAGTGTTTCAAATATCTCTCCTCGGCTGATGAGTTTCACATTATCACATTTTCACTACTACAGCTGCTGTGGGTTTGGTGGGACCGAGCCACGCTGGCTGAGCGAACGCTGTTGGTGGCAAAGGCTTGCGCGCGGGGAGACGATTGTTGCGGCAGCGAAGGAACCGAAAGACGGGGTTTGGCGAAAACGACGGCACGACGACCTCCACTACGCATCACACACACTGTTAAATTGTCTAGCAGGCACAAGCACACCCTCCCCCCCAACCTCTCCTCTACCATAACCTTATCTGCAGACATGCGGTACTTCCCTCCGCTTCACGCTCGAGTGTGCGGTGTTTCGCTCCCCCCGTTCTTCCCTAGCCCAATGGTGGCCTTAGCTTTGTACCCTGGATGCACCGTCAGCGGTCGCAGTTGCAGCGGTGATGTGGCTGCTGCTGCTGCTGCTGCTGCTGCACCAACGAGTTTCTTCCCTTGGGTTGTACTCTCGATCTGTCTAATTTCGGTGCCAGTACACTAGTCGTGCTTTAGCAACCGCACTTAAATCCGACCGCCTTTTCCCTTCTCTCGGAGCGGCGTTTCTCGGCATCTCAACGCCTACTAAATACCCCGACGCGTCCAACCCAACCCAAACCCTGATCGAACGAATTGATTCCCCGCGCACCCCAAAAAACAGCTTCGGCGGCTGTTCCAGCAGTACCTTGGGGGGGGGGCCTGGGGTGGCGCCGGCAGCGAGGCGGGCGGGGCAATGGTGGACCGGTTCGTTTCACCGTCGGCGTCGAGGGTGGTGGACTACGTGGCTGTCATGACGGTCAAGCTCGCGCCGCAGCTGAGGGCGGAGTGCGACGAGCTGTCCGACCTCAAGCAGGTGTGTGCAGAAGCAGCATTAGCAGCAGCAGCAGCCGACCCGTACGCTTCCGGCCGTTTTTTTTGTTTTTTGGGGGGGGAGGGCTTCGTCTGAGTGAGCGATTTCCAGGTTGATGATTTTTGTAGTGATGTGCGGGTGGGGAGGACCCGTCGGGAACTGGACTGTCGTCTGACACCAAAAAACACTCTCTTCGGCGCACCTTTGTGGTGTCCTTTTCTTACTACCGTTGGTTACATGACGTAAGATACCGCACCCTCTGGGCTGATTTCCAAAGCTTGGCTGTTCCAGGGTGCCAAAATCGAAAATATGTGCTCGGAGAGATCTCGAGGTGACGGTTCCAACGCCGCCATTTGCGGCCCCGCCACTCTTTCTGCTGTGGAGCAATCGAGCTTTGAAAATCGGGGTGTGGTATCTTGTGTCACGTTGCCCCGACGAAAGCTGTTGTCTTCTCGCTATAGGACCTAATCAGATGAGCTTTGGGCTGTCCAGGCTCATACGTCAATATTATATTACGGCAGTAGTGCGATGCGGAGTCGGTCCGTCCCATCCGATGGACCATCTGCCGGAACAAGCGTAGCTTCGGGTTTGATGACGCTGAGGTATTTGCTAAGCCCGATTCGGGCTCTGCCGAACGCCGGTCATTGGCAGTGTTCGGCCCTACCCGTCCCCGGTCCCCCGGGAGGGACGTGGGAACACACCTCCTGCACTGTTTCGCTCGGTGGTTGGCTTCTTTGATACTTCCGAGTATGAGTATTTTTTATCTTTGTGGTCCAGTCGCCCAACAGTGTTTGTTGTTTTAGTTGTTTTTTCGTCTTGACCTCCCTTCCTTGACCTTGGCGTGTGCTGCCGATTCGACGCTTCCCGGCTCTCGCCGCACGCGCGCACGCCGGGCGGGGGGGCAGGCGACGGTGGCACAGATGTGCCGTTTTCCCGAGGAGGACCACGAGGACACCCCCATGACGGATGCCTCCAACCTCGCCGAGATCTGCACGCAGTCTTGCGGCGCGCAAGTGAGTTGGTTGGTTCTGCTGATGGTAGACTTGGTCTCGGAGAGGGAATTCTGTCGATTCTGTGCTTCTAGTTGTTCGCATAGGAAGCTCTGTTGGTTTTTTTTGCAGTTATTTTTGTTGTGCACCCAGAGGACCAAAGCAACACGCCTGTATAGAATGCCCATGCCGGGTGCCCCAGTCGGGTGCCAAAACGTCGCTGGTTGTGTGGGAGAGACCCCTCCACTCCTCCAGCCCCCGCCTCCTGCAAATGGCGTCACCCCCGGCGTGAACCCCTGCGTCTTGCGTGTGATGCCCGTTTAGGGCGGTCCCCTGGCGGCGTACGGGACGCTCCTGACGGACACGTCTGGGGCTCGGTCGTACGTGTGGAGCAAGGTGCTAGGGGTGTACCAGGACGCCGCTCAGAAGGGCAGGGCTCGGGGTGAGAACAAAAGAAAAGATTAATCGCGGATAGGTCGAGCAGTATCAAAGAGAAGCTAGGGGCGTACCAGGACGAGGCTCGGAAGCGAGGCTGTTGAAGCAGCCACGCAGCCACACAGCCGCTGTGGTCGCCCATCTTTTCGTGTGAGGCTTTCGTTGGACGTACTTTCTTTCCTTGCGTTTGAGACGGGGTTGGGGTTAGCACATGTATTCTAGTGCGCGCTGGCCTTCATAGGCCCCTTGTCGCCGAGGAACGCGTCGTCTTCCCGCCGTCGGGCTTTTCGTTCGATTGTCTTGCCTTTCGGTGCGTAGAGTTGGCGCCGCTCCAGACATCAATGGGTATGGCCTCAAGACTCGTTCGGGGTTATTTTCCGGTGTGTATCGCCGTCCGCACTCCAACCTCTTATCTTCCGAGCGTTAGCGCTCTCCTTGGAAAATCCTCCACGGCACCAAGTCCTGGAAGGCCGCCGCCGCGGCCGCTTCTGTCGCACTTGACACGTCGGTTTCCATGGTAGGGTTCGCCACGCGGACCCCGTTTAGCAACGGACAAATTTCCGCCCAACCGCCCCGCTGTCGCCAAACCTCTCTTTCCTGCGGTTTATCTCTGGGTATCGTAGTGCACACGGCGCTGGGCCCCCCGCCCGGGGAGAGGGACGGCGCCGTCCCCGCGGGAGAGACGTCGGCCCGCGTCGTCCTGGTGCTAGCGAGGCACCCCTACACGGCCGCCTTCGCCTCCATCTGCGAGCACATCGCGGAGCTTATCCTCGACGAGGTGCGACACGGACGGACGGGGCGTGTGGGGTGTGGGGTTTATCTTAAGAGGCGGAGAAATGGGATCTACTTGTAAACAACTCAAGTGGCCCTCTACGCGTGGATAGAGCCCGATAGATGTTTATGCATACGAAAATATTTAGACGATATGTTTCCGAAACCACCATTTTTGACGTTGGCACTACGTACTGTCAGTCGTGGAATACTCGGGCTTCGAAAATTGAGGGGGAGCATCCCTCCGCACCTCACGGTAGGTAGGTAGGTAAAGGCGTGGTCGAAGCTGCCTTGGAGGATGACGTCCACTTATCGGCGTGTTTTTGGCTTGGTGCTGATGGTCAGGACGATCGGCGCAACGGAGATGAGGTTGTCGGCGGTTTGGGCAACCGGATGGGACGTCGATGGTCTGGTTCGAAGGCCATATGTAGCTATGTGTTGTTTTTGTGGTGCTATTGATATTCCAAGCATAGCGAGATCGGAATTAAGAGGGCTTCATGGGCTTTTCCTTGCCGTGGTTGATCCAATTTCTTGTGGGCCAAGTCCTGGGCAGTTAAGGGCTTGTAGCGAGCGAGTGCTTCTCGGGATGGCATGGATTGTTCCTGGATGCACCAATCAGAAAGGGGTTGACGCATCTAGAAATGACCCATGCCGTCACCGCAAAGCATTCGGTCACTTCAAGCGCGCGATGGCCGAGTCGCCTCAAGCGGGGCAGGCCCTGGAAGGAAGCCTATCATAAGCGGATGCGTTTTGCGGGAATTCATTGGATGTTGGCTACACGGTGCTCCCGGCACTCTCGCAGCCAGGCTTTTACCGGCGGTGCCTCTGTAGGTGCGATTGTTCCTTCGCCTCGCCACCACGCACGCCTGTCCTGTCGCACGCTGCTCGCTCTACGCCAACACTGTCGCGGCATAACACAACCCGTCACGCGCGGCGGGCTCTTACAGGCGTTGAATTGGGGGTCCCTGTGTGAGTGGCCCCTGGACATGGAGCAGGAGAGGAACCAGCAGATCAGGTTCTGCATGGAGCACTACGCGAGCGATCTTCCGCTGCCGCTGCCCTCGGCGCAGGCTGAGCACACGTGAGGACTACCGAGGCTTATAGTCGTGCGCTGAAAGGGACTTCATTTCCTAGACACCCTCCGAGGTTGGGTAGGTCGGAGGCTACCACCTCTCTCTTCCTCCCTATTTCCTCTCTCGCTCTCCCTCTCTCCTCGCTCTCTCTCTCTCTCTCTCTCTCTCTCTCTCTCTCTCTCT